AAACTGGCACCAAAATATTACCAAAGTGCCCATTCAGTGTTTCATTTAAATGAAGGCGATACATCAATAACAGAGGCTGGTTTTCCACTCAAGGTCTTAGGTAAACATAGGTCACATTATTCAATGACAAAAACTCCACTCACCCAACAAAGGCTAAAGAAAGTATATAATTACAACCAATGCTATCAAAACACCAACTTTGTTGGTCCCAACACCAGCTTTGCAGACTTTGTCTTGGTGGAATGAGTATTCATCCATGTACACTGTAGTCATGTCTCTACAGATGGTAGCATCAAAGTAGTGATGATTTGGATCCACACGTATTTGGGGTTTTTTGTCGACTGGCATTTGAGTTGCTGGTACATCTTGTGTACAGCTTTAGCAGATTGACAAGTCGGTTCCCAGATGCGATTTTCTGTTTTGTCCATAGCAGATTTCTGGGTCAAAACTTTGTAGTGCCATGAGCCACGTGGCCACACGTGAGTTTGTCACTACACCATCTCTGATGCGTTGGCTGTTTAGGAAAGTCACTGGCTGATGTGTTTCCACAACGATTTTTTTGTCTGCCTATGTAGTTAGAGGTGTTTTACTGCCCACACAGTGGTCAGTAGGGCCTTCTCACAGTCTGAGTATTTTAGCTCAGGGCCTGCCATTGTTTTACTGGCGTAGGCCACCACACGTTTGTCTCTGTCGTGGATTTGGTACAAACCTGCACTTAGACAGTGAGCTGAGAAGCCCACTTCCAAATGGAAGTCTTTGTTGTAGTCTGGGTARGCCAGACATGGGGCGGATTTTAGGTTGTCTTTGAGGGTGTCCATTGCCTGCTGCTGTCTGTCAGTCCAGACAAATGGAATGTCCTTTTTTAGCAGTTCAGTCAGTGGTTTTGCCAGATCTGCATAGTTTTCTATAAATTGGCGTGGGTAGTTAGAGACGCCCAGAAAACTCTGCAGTTCTTTGAGATTGGAGGGAGTTTTGAGGTTGTCTAGGCCTTGGGTGCGACTAAGTTGTGGTTGCACTCCTTCAGGACCTACTAGTAGGCCCACATAGTCAACTTTAGTTTTGCGCCATTGGCATTTTGACAGTGAGATTTTGGCACCAGCAGTTGTCAACTGATTTAGAACGTGGTCTATTTCAGTCAAATGTTCCTCCAGAGTTGGTTGTCTCAAGAGAATGTCTTCGACATAAATCAGAGTCCCCCGTTCATAAGCGTCTGGACACGCTTTGTTCAGAAAAATGTTGAACACTGCAGGTGAGTTAGCATAGCCAAAGGGACACCTGGTGAAGGTGTATTGACGGCTAGCAAAGGTGAAAGCTAATTTGTGTTGGTCCTCGGCTTATACAGGTATGGTCCAGAAACCAGAAGTCACATCGAGTGTTGAGAAGTACTTACCGTTGGTGACCTTGAGCAGTTCCTGCTAGAGCTGAGTCATGGGCCACCTGGACAAGGGAACTTATTTGTTCAGCTTTCTGTAGTCTATTGTGAGTCTCCACTTCCCTTTTGGTTTCAAAACTGGCCATAAAGGCGCAGAGTAAGTGCTGTTGCACGGTCTGATAATACCTTTTTCCAAAATATTATCATTGATTTCTTGGACAGGCTGATGCGCTGCCAAAGGGATTTTTTATTGTCTGACATATGTTGGTGGAGAATTTGGTGGGGTTGGGATGAGTACTGTGTGGAGTGAGGTCAGTCCGCAGTCCARTGAGTCAGTTGAGAATGACTTCTCATACTTTAGGAAAACTTTGCGAAGTTTGTTTCTTTCTTCATCAGTTGTTAGGGCATTGGCTTGGGTGACCACCTGTTCAATCAGTGAAGGAATTGAGGAGGGATCTTGTTCTGTAGGGAGCTCCAGCGGATCCCCCTCCATGTCGTCGAGCCTGCTAACAGGTAGGACGCTGTAGGTTTGAGGCTCTGAGCTGTCTTCCTGGTTGAGATCGATCCTTCTGACTGTGCCACAGTCGAAATCGGTGGCTGAGAAGATAGCTATGGCCTGTGTTGGTTTTGTGAACAAGACCAGCTCAGTGTGGTGATCTGGGATTAAATTCTCAGGAATTTCTCCCAGAACTGGAATGCTCAGTTCAAAGTCATGAAAATCGGTGCTGATTAACCATCCTAGTGGCGTGTTTTTAGGGATCACTATCTCTTCTGTGTCTGTGTTGCACACAGTGAGAGAAGTAGTCCTGGAGTTGAGACTCACCTGTGTTGTGGCCTCGAGGGAGAGTCCTAGGTTTAAGAACCTAGGAGATGGTTGAAAGAGAGCCTGTTTGTGGTCAATAGCTTTACCAGCTAGGATGTGGATTTGCACCAAAATGTTTGTTGCTTGAGGAGGGACTGTGGTAAGTTGTTTGTTGGTGACTTGACAGACGTCAGGGATGGTCTGTCCCGCCTTTAGGTTAACTGTGTCTAGCGCAGAAAGTTCTTTTGGGGTTGTTTTCAGGGACCACAGTACATTATTGATGGTTTCCACTTGGACACCTAGTCTCACCAAGATGTCAGAACCTATGTAGACCAAATGTGGAAGGTTTGGGACCACGAGGATCGGATAGACCAGTTCTCGTAGGTTCCAGATCAGTTTCAGGTTAATGACTCCTGTTGCAGTCAGAACCTGTTTGCTGTTTGGGTCTGTTGGGAAGTGAAAATATATTTTCACCAGCTGTAGGCCTAAATGTTTTTCAGCTAAGTTTTCATAGAAGACCTGGCTGATTGCAGATTTATCTGTCCAGAGGGATAGGACAGCATCATCCATGTGGGATCCTTGGATCTGTAGGCCTTTCACTACCTGTGGTAGGTAGTTTTCTGTGTTTGCTGACTGTGTCAGATCACAGAGGAAGGTGTCGTGTGTCAGAGTCGGTTTCTGCGGTTGAGCTGCCGCTGACTCAGACGCAGTTGAGGTCTCACTCACCAGGTCTCTGTTCTCAGGTGAGGGGTCAGTCGTGCCCTCTGCAGTGTCCACTGCTAGGCACTCTATGTCCCACTCAGGTGGGAGGGTTTATGGTGCTGATTCTCCGGTTCTAGTCCAGAGTGTTCTATCCACCCAATCTGCCTGTGTGCGGACTCTGTACAAGAGGTCTTGGCCAGCTAGGAATGGGATAGAGTCAAGTGGCGACACATACACTGGGTGTATGAATGTCATCCAGCTGAGCTATATCTGTATCAAAGATGTAGGGGTCACCTCAAGTGAAGAAACAAGAGTTACTGCCTCAAAGCAGGTCTCGGAAAGGCCTGACAGAAGGCAGGAACACTGAACTCTATTTTAGGCCATGACAGGTCATTTCAACCTAGAAGAGAATTTGAGAGTAAACAGATAATGAACAGAACAATCTTCTCTGTTCGTGATTCATTTATTGTTTAACTAAGAATGTTTATGCATTTGTTAATCATAATAATGACTGTGACAAAGAAGGAAGAATCTCTTCTACTCTTTTATCATGCCTAAAAGATTAATTAATGGTATAAAAATCACAGAGAAAATCATCACCATGTTTTCATTGTGTTTTTATGTAAATCACTGTTTTTATTTTACTGGAAACATCAGTAATATAATTTTGAGTTTTTCTTGAGAAAATCTTTCATTTATCTGGACCAACAAAGTTTCAGACTGATTATTTAAACAGAAATGTTAATTAATCATAAATGTTTTACAGTGATCCCTAAAAACACGCCTGTAGGATGGTTAATCAGCACCGATTTTCATGATTTTGAACCGAGCGTTCCAGTTATGGGAGAAATTCCTGAGAATTTAATCCCAGATCACCACACTGGGAAGGTATTGTTCACAAAAGCAACACAGGCCACATCTATCTTCTCAGCCACCGATTTCGACCGTGAAACAGTCAGAAGGATCGATCTCGACCAGGAAGATAGCTCAGAGCCTCAAACCTACAGCGTCCTACCWGTTARCAGGCCGGACGACATGGAGGGGGAGCCGCTGGAGCTCCCTACAGAACAAGACCCCTCCTCAATTTCTTCACAGATTGAACAGGTGGTCGCCCACGCCGACGCCCTAACAACTGATGAAGAAAGAGACAAACTTCGCAAAGTTCTCCTAAAATATGAGAAGTCATTCTCAACTGACTCACTGGACTGCGGACTGACTTCACTCCACACAGTACGCATCCCAACCCCACCAAATTCTCCACCAACGTATGTCAGACAATATAAAATCCCTTTGGCAGCGCATCAGCCTGTCCAAGAGATCATTGATAACCTTTTGGCAAAAGGTGTCATCAGACCGTGCAACAGCACTTACTCTGCGCCTTTATGGCCAGTTTTGAAACCAAATGGGAAGTGGAGACTCACAATAGACTACAGAAAGCTAAACAAACAAGTTCCCTTGTCCAGGTGGCCAATGACCCAGCTCCAACAGGAACTGCCCAAGGTCAACCCAACTTTTGCTAGCCGTCAATACACCTTCACCAGGTGTCCCTTTGGCTATGCTAACTCACCTGCAGAGTTCAACATTTTTCTGAACAAAGCGTGTCCAGACGCTTATGAACGTGGGACTCTGATTTATGTCGATGACATTCACTTGAGACAACCAACTCTGGAGGAACATTTGACAGAAATAGACCATGTTCTACATCAGTTGACAACTGCTGGTGCCAAGACCTCACTGTCAAAATGCCAGTGGTGCAAAACCAAAGTGGACTAGGTGGGCCTACTAGTAGGTCCTGAGGGAGTGCAACCACAACTTAGTCGCACCCAAGGCCTAGACAACCTCAAAACTCCCTCCAATCTTAAAGAACTACAGAGTTTTCTAGGTGTGTGTAACTACTCACGCCAATTCATAGAAAACTACGCAGATCTGGCAAAACCACTGACTGAACTGCTAAAAAAGGATGTTCCATTTGTCTGGACTGACAGACAGCAGCAGGCAATGGACTCCCTCAAAGACAGCCTAAAATCTGCCCCATGTCTGGCCTACCCAGAAAACAACAAAGACTTCCATTTAGAAGTGGGCTTCTCAGCTCACTGTCTAAGTGCAGGTTTGTACCAAATCCACGACAAAGACAAACCTGTGGTGGCCTACGCCAGTAAAACAATGGCAGGCCCTGAGCTAAAATACTCAGACTGTGAGAAGGCCCTACTGACCACTGTGTGGGCAGTAAAACACTTCTCTAACTACATGGGCGGACAAAAAATCATTGTGGAAACACAACATCAGCCAGTGACTTTCCTAAACAGCCAACGCATCAGGGATGGCGTAGTGACAAACTCACGTGTGGCCACGTGGCTCATGGCACTACAAAGTTTTGACATAGACATCCGCTATGGACAAAACAAAAAATCCCATCTAGGAACCGACTTGGCAATCTGCCAAAGCTGTACACAAGATGTACCAGCAACAGATACGCCAGTCGACAAAAAGCCTCAAATAAGTGAGGATCCAAATCAACACTACTTTGATGCTAACATCTGCAAAGACATGACTACAGTGTACGTGGATGGATAGTAGTGTTTACTTTGCTCTACCGACTGTTAGTCAGGCTTGCATCAAATGCTGAAGAACTTAAAGGGTACTCATTAGTTGTTAACAGTGTATTGTTGAGTGCATAATTTAAGAAAGGACCTAGTATGCTCAGTTCAGTGTTTTAGATAAACAGTTCATTGCATGTAATAGGAATATCTATTGGAGAAAATTTATTTTTGGACAGTTTCATAGAGTCTAAGGAGGACCTTGTTTGTGATACAGCCTGCATTTTGCATTTGTAAATTGATAGACATGGCTCAAGTGTGTTTGAAATTTACAGGAAAATGAGAGGGAGTAGCCACAAAAGCACCTTTGTAG